GAAGTTGAAGACTGCTATCAAATCCCCCCTCACTCTTCTCTTCTGCAGACTAAATAAACCCAAATCTCTCAGCCTCTCCTCGTAGGTCATGCGTTCCAGCCCCAGAATCATTTTGGTCGCCCTCCGCTGGCTTTTTTTAATTGAAACTTTTGTTTTCAAAATTAACCCTTTCCCACCAGCAGCTTCACGTTTTAATGAATCATCATTTTCGGATGAAACCGTTTCCTTGAGAAAATCCTGACTAGCTTCATTCACTAACACTGGAATGAAGGGTATAATTCAAACATAGGCTGTATGGATCAGAACCAAAACACCACAGCAGAGCACCCCTGAACTTCGTAACCTCCAGGGCCTTTTTTGCCGAACTGCTACTTAGCCAGTCAGTCCCCAGCCTGTAACAAAGCTCGGGATTCTTCCGTCCCAAGGGCAAGACTCAACGCTTGTCCTTGTTGACAAAGCCCTCTAATTCTTCCTGACATACTGGAGCAGAAATTGGTCATTTCTACCCCAGATCACTTCATTTTAATGCCTCTACCTCACTGTTCACACCCATGATCCAGTCCCAGCAGCACCCGGACCCTGACCTTCCTTCAGACTTCCTGAGATCCATTTATCGTTTTGCACGATGGCCGTTCCCTTCTGCGATGGACAACTTTGGAATAGCCCGACTGACCGGACCTTGCGTTCCTACCTGCATGTCTTCATCCAACGGCGCCTCCTGGTTTGTTTCGTACTTATTCCATTTCACGGAAATGAATGTTCTTCCCTTCAATGTCTTCTGAGAGGATGCAAATTTCCCGGAACTTTTCGGCGGGCGGGAATCTGAAAGGATTGCCTAGAAGAAAGTTCAACTTTATTTTTTTAGACAGGAAAAACAATGGTGTCAGGACAGCTTCCACCTCAAAAGCCAAAGCATAGAAAGCAACGGAGAACTGTTGACCAAACAACAAAACATAAGAACACAAGACCATCAGAAAGGCCATACTTGGTCAAACCAACAACAGTGGCCAATGCCAGATGCCCCAGAGGGATGGAACACAACAGGGAATCTTCACATGATCCCTCCCCTGTCACCCATTTCCAGAGAAACAGAGGCTAGAGACACCATTCCTACCCGTGGGTCTGGCCCACGAAAGCTCATCATCTAATAAACCATCTTGTTAGTCTTTAAAGTGCTACATTGTCCTGCATTTTGCTTCAGCTACCCCAGACTAACACGGCTACATCTCTATCATTGATGGACCTAACCTCCATGAATTTATTTTGTTCTTTTATGAAGCCTGTTAAAGTGCTAGTCTTCGCACCCTCCTCCGGCAAGGAGTTCCACAGGTTCACTGTGCGCTGTGTGAAGAAAATCTTCCTTTTGTTTGTTTCAAAACTGAGACTTATTCATTTCCTTTGGCTACCCCAATTCTTACGTGATGGGAGCCAGTAAATAACTTCATTATTCACTTTCTCCAGACCTGTCAAGATTTTATAGACCTCTACACTATCCCCCCTTTATCTCCTCGTTTCTAAGCTGAAAAGTCCCAGTTTTTTTAATCTCTCTTCATGTGGAATCTATTCCAAACACCTCATCATTTTTTTTGCCCTTTTCTGGACCTTTTCCAATGCCAAGATATCTTTTTCGAGATGAGACGACCACTTCTATATGCGTTCACTTTTTTTGATTGTATCCCTTTGGTATATATGGTCGTGCCAATTTTCTTCCACAATTTGATCTGAGGAAGTGGGTCTGGCCCACGAAAACTCATCACCTAATAAACCATCTTGTTAGTCTTTAAAGTGCTACATTGTCCTGCATTTTGCTTCAGCTACCCCAGACTAACACGGCTACATCTCTATTACTAGAACGGGAAGCGACTGTCTAGGAAGGAGGCCTGCAGAAAGGGATCTAGGGGTCAGAGTTGACCACGAGCTAATATGAGCTGCAAAGAAAGCCAACATGATTCTGGGCTGCATGAACAAGAGTGTTGTGAGCAAGACACGAGAAGTCGTCGTTCTGCTGTACTCTACGCTGATTATGCCTCAGTTGGAGGATTGTGTCCAGTTCTGGGTACCACATTTCAGGAAAGATGTGGAAAAATTGGAGACGGTCCAGAGAAGAGCAACAAGAATGATGAAAGGTCTGGAGAACATGACCTATGAGGGAAGGCTGAAAGAATTGGGTTCGTTTAGTTTAGAAAAGAGAAGACTGAGGGGGGACATGAGAACCGTTTTCAGGTATCTAAAAAGGTATTACAAAGAGGAGGGAGAAAAATTATTCTCCTTGGCCTCTGAAGGCAGGAGGCCTTGCAGCAAGGGAGGTTTAGGTTGGACATTAGGAAAAACTTCCTCTTGGTCAGTGTGGTGAAATACAAATAAGTTGCCTAGGGAGTTGTGGAATCTCCATCCCTGGAGATATTTAAGAGCAGGTTAGATAGACGTCTATCAGGGATGGTCTAGACGGTGCTTGGTCCTGCCATGAGGGCAGGGGACTAGACTTGATGACCTCTCAAGGTCCCTTCCAGTTGTAGCGTTCTATGACTGTATGATAATTAAGGAGAGAATGGTACCTGAGGGACGGGATTGTGAACGTCATCAGATCAATACTTCCCGACGAGTTAACTTCCCATCACAACCTGCCTCCTGTTGTATGTTAGAATCACAGAATCGTAGACTCCTAGGACTGGCAAAGACCTCAGGAGTCATCGAATCCAGCCCCTTGCCCAAAGCGGGACCAACCCCAACTCAATCTTCCCAGTCAAGCCAGGAGTTAAATATCTCTAGGGGTGGAGATTCCACCCCGGTTCCTAGAGAACCCATCCCAGTGCTTCTTGTCCTATCTGCAGAGGTGAAGGAGAACAATTTTTCTCCCGCCTCCTTGTAACACCCTTTCAGAAAGTTGGAAACTCTTTATACATTTATAAATTGTGTCGCAACTAATACAATTGTCTCTTCGCTATATTCGACAACGATTATTTGGTAACTCGTCTGCTTTGATCTGTTTTCCAGCCCTTAGAATCATTCGCAATGTATTTATTTATACCAACTTATTTATACCAATAAACTTAGTGCACATTATCGGCTTTTTTGAACATATCTTACACTGAATCAAAATGATTAAAGCTATTTCCTGTACAGCTGTTTACTTCAGTGGTTAAACTCCAATCAAGTTCATAAGAATATAAGAACAGCCATACTGGTTGAGACCAAAGGTGCTATGGCTGTGGTTAAACTCCAATCAAGTTTATAAGAATATAAGAACAGCCATACTGGTTGAGACCAAAGGTCCATCTAGCCTAGTGTCCTGTCTGCCGACAGTGGCCAATGCCAGATGCCCCAGAGGGAATGAACAGAACAGAGATTCGCCAACTGAGCCCTCCTGTTACCCATTCCCAGCCTCTGGCAAACAGAGCTTAGGGACCATCCTGGCTAATAAGTATTGATAGATCTGTCCTCCATGAATGGATCGAGCTCTTTTTGGAACCCCATTAAAGTCCTGGTCTTCCCAACATCCTCTGGCAAAGCACGGATGACTTTCAACAAGCCCACACATTGTCCATTTCCCACAACAGCCTAGGAGAAAGGTAACTTCATGGTTAAGACACTGTTCTGAGACTCATGAAATCTGGATTTAATCCTCAGCTTAGTTTTATTAACTATGCAAGATAAATTGTGAATGTTTCTGAAGGCTGGCAAACAGATCAAAACATGCTATTTACCAAATACTCATCAATTACAGCGCAAACACCAAATAATGAACATCAGTAAAATGGGTTGCTATATACCAGTAATAATGTAGTACAGAGAGAAAGTTTCTATATGATACCATTCTCCAGGAAGAAGGCAAGCTCCCAAATTTATACAGCCACTCCCCGACTTACGAACACACCGACTAATGACCATCCGTACTTACGACCAACCTCCCATTAACCCCATTATAATATTTTCAAGTTGAGAACCATGTACGTCAAGTTTTTTGAACAGCATGGACAGCGTATTTAAGGGTATTTCCTACTTATCACCAAATCGAGTTACGACCAGATGTTCAGAACATAACCCATTCGTAAGTCGGGGACTGCCTGTACTCCGAAGACCATCTTCTAGATCTGTCCTATTTGCAAGCAAAAGTAACTGTGTACAACTTTTGAAAGAACTCAGTTTGTACCTTGTTTTGTTTTTTCTAGTACCAAGCTACCCACCTTATAGCGTTGGCCTCAATGAATACATTTCAAGTACCAAAGGACACGAAAGCCCCAGCTTATTTTGTCCTCTCTGGGTCACTCCAGAACAAGTCGGTGCCAAGACCTCCGTAGCTATCGCTACGCTAAAATAACCTTGCATTGTAACCTATGCCCGTAAACAATGAAAAATGCAAATTAGAAATAACGCACTTCTTAGATTGTGTGTGCATGAGCAGTTCCTCACCCTGACGGATGACCCCAACAATTTGGTAGCTTCTCAAGACACAGTCTGGCAGCTTCAATGTCTCAGGTTTCCAGATGCAGGCTCGAAATCGCTGTAGCCTGTATCCAGCAGTTCCCCAAAATCAGTTTTTGTTCCTTCCGTCTTCCGAGGAGTCCTCTTGGGTGCAGGGTGAGAAACAAGCCGTGAGCTCACGCCCGGCCTTATATAGCTGTAGCAAAGGGTGTAAACCCTTTGTTTCCCGCCTTGGCTCCCAGGGCGGTGTGTGGAAAAATACAGCCCTCCCAAGATGGAGTCCGGCGTCATGTGACCTGACACTGTAGTGCCATAGCGACCATTACAACAGACTCTCTGGAGCTTTCGTAAGAGGGTTTGCCAAGAGGACAATGTGTCTCTACTGAGGCCTATTGTTTTCCCCGATGGCTCGTTAACCTTAATAGGTCCTTCCCAAACGAGCTCGTTAGACTGAAAACACCTTCAATTCCCATCTGAAATGCAGAGACATAGTCAACTTCCATGACTTGGGCTACAACAATGATACGTGCATACAGAAATAGGGCCATCCTCTCCAGCAGCCATGACACTTCCGTTGACACTGTCACGGATGCATCTCGACCAAAACGCATCGTCATTAGGCCATTAGCTTATCATTGTGGTCTCACTTTGAAGAACGTAGGAGGGTTGTTCTTATGTTTTTACATGGGTCAGACCAAAGGCCCATCCAGCCCCGTGCTTACATCAGAACGGCAAGAGTGGGTCAGACCAAAGGCCCATCCAGCCCCGTGTCCAATCTGCCGACAGGGGCCAATACCAGATGCCCCAGAGGGAGTGAACAGAACGGGGAATCCTCACGTGATCCCTCTCCTGTCAGACGTTTCCAGACAAACAGGCTAGAGACACCATTCCTACCCACCCTAATAGTGTTTCCAGACAAACAAGCTAGGGACACCATTCCTACCCATCCTAATAGCCACTGATGGACCAAACCTCCATGAATCTATCTAGTACTTTCTTGAAACCCTGTTAAAGTTCTGGTCTTTACAACATCCTCTGGCAAGGAGTTCCGCAGATTAACCATGCGCCGCAGATAGAAAAACTTTCTTTGGTTTCTTTTAAACCTGTTGCAGATAGAAAAACTTTCTTTGGTTTCTTTTAAACCTGCTATCTATTCTTTTCATGAGGTGACACCTCATTCTTACATTATGGGAACAAGTCAAGAACTTTTCCTTCTTCCCTTTTTCCACACCAGTCGTGATTTTATAGATCTCGAGCCTATCCTCCCTTAGTCTCCTCTTTCCTACGCTGAAACGTCCCCATCTTTTTAATCTCTCTTCATGTGGCACCCGTTCCAAACCCCTCAGCATTTTCGTTTCCCTTTTCTTAACCTAACTTCATTCTCTTTCCCCCTGGATTGAAGAGACCATCCTATTCTTTCAGACACGGCGGATGCCCGAGAAGGCATTTTGCTTTTCAAAATCAGTTTCTTTCACTTCAAGCGTGATGCTTTACCCTTCATGCTTATCTATTGCTAGCTGCGCTCCGACACTGGCTTTCCCTGCCGATTTCCAGAGATAAGAGTAGCATCTTCGCCCTGCATTTCTGCTTCTCTTCGATAGTCTTTGATCATCTCAGTAAATTGAGCTTCCGTCGCTTGCCGGCGTGTCTGCGTTCCGGAGTGCACCTTGGTGTATGTTGTCGCTACACGTTGCACCTCCGCAAACCATCTGAAGAAGTGGGCTGTGCCCACGAAAGCTCAGGATCCCATCGGCATGTTTTGTGAGTCTATACAGTGCTACCAGACCATTGGTTGTTTTTCAAGTTTAACTTGGCTCCCCCCTGAAGCTTCAGGACTCCTTTGTCCAGCTGAACGAGAGAGCCTCGGGGAGGGAGAGCCAGTAGCTGAGAGTCCCATGAAAGGTGAAGCTGGGAGCCTCAGCAACGGAGCGGTAGTTCTTCACACAGCGGATAGTCAATCTGTGGAACTCCTCGCTGGAGGAAGTTGTGAAGGCTGAGATTATAACAGGGTTTAAAAGAGCTAGATAAATTCATAGAGGTGAAGTCCATTCATGGTTATTAGCCAGGATGGGTAAGGAATGGGGTCCCTAGCTTCTGTTTGTCAGAGGGTGGAGATGGATGGCAGGAGAGAGATGGCTTCATCATTCCCTGTTCGGTTTCCTCCCTCTGGGGCACTTGGTATCATGACAGTTGTGTAGAAAGTAACAGATCCTGGGCCCTGGAGCTAACAGCAGAAACACAAGAGACCAATAGGCCCAGACTTAACAAAGTTACTTAGAAAAACCAGGCAGGGGAGGTGTTGTGTTTTGTTGGTGGAGGTGAGAGAGACTGAATTTGGGGCAGGAAAAGATCTCTCCTCCCCCATGTGGTCTCTCTCGGGCTACAGCAGCCCTGCAGAGAGGGAGGCTGTGTCTACACTGGTCACTTATTCCGGAAAATCAGCCGCTTTTCCGGAATAACTTGCCAGCTGTCTACACTGGCCCCTTGAATTTCCGGAAAAGCACTGACGATCTACTGTAAAATCATGCTGCTCCCGTTCGGGCAAAAGTCCTTTTACGGAAAACTGTTCAGGAAAAGGGCCAGTGTAGACAGCACAGATTTCTTTTCCGCAAAAAAGCCCCGATCGCGAAAATGACCATCGAGGCTTTTTTGCGGAAAAGCGCGTCTACATTGGCACGGACACTTTTCCGGAAAAGCATCCTGCCAATGTAGATGCGCTTTTTCCGGAAATACTTATAACGGAAAACTGTTCCGTTTTAAGCATTTCCGGAAAAGGGTGCCAGTGTAGACGTAGCCGTGTAGCCGTAGCCGGGCAGTGTGAGGACGAGGCCTTACAACATGAACGGGGCAGTTGAATTGACACAAATACATAAACCACAGAGCACAGGCTCTGTGCTCTGTGGGGCACAGGCAGGTGGGTTGCAAGCAGCAGGTGGGCAGCCATGAGGGGCTGGCGGATGCCAGGGTGCGATATTTTTCAGTGTGAGGTGGCAGCAGACGTGCGATCGCACGAGCACTATGGTCAGTCACTGGGGGGCGGGGCTCCGAGGCGGGAGGGGAAGGGACCAATGGCCTAAGGGAGAAGCCATCTTGATATTTTTCAGTGTGAGGTGGCAGCAGACGTGCGATCGCACGAGCACTATGGTCAGTCACTGGGGGGCGGGGCTCCGAGGCGGGAGGGGAAGGGACCAAAGGCCTAAGGGAGAAGCCATCTTGATATTCCTGCGGTGCTGAGCTAGACATGAGGCTGGATCTGCACTGGGCGCATGGGCGCCCGTGTTGCACGTCACACACTTGTCCCCTGGGCTCTGTGCGGGGGGTGACGCCTGCTTGTGGGGATGCTGGTGGGGAGGGGCAGAGCAGGGAGAGGATCACTAACTCTTCGGGCTGTTTTCCAAGGCACCCTGCCCCTGCTGTAACCACTAGGCCCCACTGCCCTCCCAGAGCTAGGGAGAGAACCCAGCAGTCCTGTCTTCCAGCCCCTGCCACTGTGGCTCTAACCACTAGGCCCCACTGCCCTCCCAGCTAGGGAGAGAAACCAGGAGTCCAGTCTCCTGAGTCAGTAAAATGACTCGGCCTCCCCTTTGCAAAACCAGCACCAGGGTCCCTACCCCTGGTGTGTGCCCCCCCCCGACTCTCCCAACCCCAGCAAGGGAGAGATCCCAGAAGCCCTCACTCCTCCTCTAACCACGAGACCCTACTCCTTTCCAGAGCCAGGGAGACAGCCCAGGAGCGGAGGCTTTCAGCCGCCCTCCTCTAACCACTAGTCCCCACTCCCCTCTTGGGGCCAGGGAGAGAACCCAGGCCTCCTGGCTCCCAGGCCATCTCTGGCTCTAACCACTAATCCCCACTCCCCTCCACATGCCAGAGAGAGGACTCAGGAGAGCTGGCTTCCTTTCCCAGAGACAGGGAGACACCCCAGGAGAGGAGG